TGTTCTGGCCTATCAGATGTGGTATCACATGTTCTGTTGTAGCCTATCATATGGGGTATCACATGTTCTGGTCTATTAGATGTGGTATCACATGTTCTGGCCTATCATATGTGGTATCACATGTTCTGTTGTAGCCTATCGTATGTGGTATCACATGTTCTGTTGTAGCCTATCAGATGTGGTATCACATGTTCTGGTCTATTAGATGTGGTATCACATGTTCTGGCCAAGCAGATGTGGTATCACATGTTCTGTTGTAGTCTATCAGATGTGGTATCACATGTTCTGGCCTACTGGCCTATCAGATGTGGTATCACATGTTCTGGCCTATCAGATGTGGTATCACATGTTCTGTTATAGGCTATCATATGTGGTATCACATGTTCTGGTCTATTAGATGTGGTATCACATGTTCTGGCCTATCAGATGTGGTATCACATGTTCTGGCCTATCAGATGTGGTATCACATGTTCTGTTGTAGCCTATCATATGAGGTATCACATGTTCTGGCCTATCAGATGTGGTATCACATGTTCTGGCCTATCAGATGTGGTATCACATGTTCTGGCCTATTAGATGTGGTATCACATGTTCTGGCCTAGCAGATGTGGTATCGCATGTTCTGGCCTAGCAGATGTGGTATCACATGTTCTGGCCTATCAGATGTGGTATCACATGTTCTGTTATAGGCTATCATATGTGGTATCACATGTTCTGGTCTATTAGATGTGGTATCACATGTTCTGGCCTATCAGATGTGGTATCACATGTTCTGGCCTATCAGATGTGGTATCACATGTTCTGTTGTAGCCTATCATATGAGGTATCACATGTTCTGGCCTATCAGATGTGGTATCACATGTTCTGGCCTATCAGATGTGGTATCACATGTTCTGGCCTATTAGATGTGGTATCACATGTTCTGGCCTAGCAGATGTGGTATCGCATGTTCTGGCCTAGCAGATGTGGTATCACATGTTCTGGCCTACTGGCCTATCAGATGTGGTATCACATGTTCTGGCCTATCAGATGTGGTATCACATGTTCTGGCCTATTGTATCTAGAATTGAAGCAAATTGTTGGTTTACACTTCAGGCTTTAGTTATATTTGATCTTAGAGAGTACCCACCCCACAACAGTTGAGTCATAATAAAAATGGTTGTTAGAACAAGTAGCTAATAGCCACCCTGCAAACAGACCCTCACAAAATTATGAACAACGGACCTGTCCTTTAAACATCTTTCATGGTTTTTATACAATCCAATCACATTACTTTACATCAATTTCAATATTACGGTCAGGAGATGCAGAAGCTTATTGATTTTCAATGATTTCGGATAATTACTGCCAGAGTTAAGGCCCTTGATCACTTTGAAATTGTTTAAGGGCATGAGACAAACAAGCCAAACAAATTCTAATGTTTTCTATTAATTACTTCATGGGTTGTATATGTTCTCATGATTGGCAAAAGAAAAAATATGCGACAACACTTGTTGACTGCCTGGACGACTCAGCTGCTGTGGGCATATGTTTGATGATATAAATAATTTTCAGATGGTATAGAGTCTATTTGTATAGAGTATGTAGCTTTTCCTAAAAACCTTGCCAAAAAAAAAAAATAATAATAATTTTTATAAAAACAGAAGCCGAGTTTGTGTATTTAAACAACATTGGGGGTGGGGATGGCCGAATGGTTAGCACATGTTCGTTGTATCATAAGGTTTGTCAATCAGTCAAATGGCGTGGTTTCTATTCCCCGGTTGTACGTGACAAGGAGTAAGGTTTTCTATGGATCCTCCGGTTTCCTCCCACTGCTAAAGGGCCCTATGCGCAAGAGAATTAATGAAATAAAATTGAACCATATGTTAGTCTCAAAACCTCTTCTCTCTCTCTCTCTCTTTCTGTCTCTCGCTCTCTCTCTCTCCCTCTCCCTCTAGAACTGTATTAACAACCAGATGACATTTTATGTCCATTTTGAATTGTTTGAAGATCGAAATAATACCAAGATTTTGAAGTCTTTATCAAACATTGTTTTTAATATAGGACATTTTTTTTTGCTATTTTAATAATTGTATTTCTATAAAACTGTAATAAACTATGGCAACTTGATATTTTTATAATGACCAAATGGTTCATTATTTCAGGCAATGACAAATGATATGACATTAAAACAAGTCATTCTATTGGTTTATTGCCCCAGCAACATGTGCTATGTTATCCGATACTCACACAGATTGCCTAACAACCAGAATATGGCCGTTCTCTCGCCCTGTAAGTGTATCCAGGGCAGATTGAGTTCGAAACAATTTTTACATTTTTTATTGCATGAATATCTTTGTGGAAATTATAAAGCATTATATTTCGTAAATTATTAATTTTTTTTAGGTATTTTATTTCCGTCTTGACTCTTGAAATACAAAATCAATTAGTCTTTATAGGTTTCTTTTATTATTTCAACGAAAGCACAAAAATAAATCCATTTCTTAAAGAGAGAGAGAAATGGGGTTAAACGTCCTATCGATACAAACTAGGTCATTTCGGGACTAGCATATGGTTCAATTTTATTTCACTAATTCGCTTGCGCGTAGGGGTCTTTAGCAATGGGAGGAAACCGAAGGACCCGGAGTAAACCCACGAGGTTGGACAGGCGACCCTACACCTTGTCATGTACAACTGGGGAATCGAAACCATGCCAATTGACTCAATGACAGACTTTATAACACAGCGCGCACATGCTAACCATTAAGCCATCCAACCCCCCATTTCTTAAAGACTATGAACGTAGTTTTAGAGCTGAAGAATCCCTTGAAAACTAGAATATTGTGATGAAAGTTGAATCTCTAATTGGAAAATGAAATGGGGTTTAACGTCCTACTGTTCTGCTCCGACTGGGCTAATGAAGACGGCATACACTATACAATGTGCAATGAGAGAAATTTTGCCTGGGCAGCGGCATTATCGCTTACTCTTATATCGAATTTCAACTGCCAATGCACGCCAATGTATACACGGGGCCTCATTTTTTTGTCTCATCTAGACTACTAGACAGCTGTCTTTGTCAGGTCCTCCTTCGTCCTGTACCATTGACAAGGAGAAACCACGTTGGAAAATCTCAATGAACTTCCTAGGCCAATGCAGGGATCGAACACGCGACCTCCAGGCTAGCGAGCCAGCGTCTCACCCACTTAGCCACCGGTCACTCCCTCTAATAGGAATATCAGTCCAAAAATCGTTAAATAGCGTTCCATATTTTCAAGAAAAATATATGACAAATTGAAAATTACATTGATCTAAGTAACAAGATGACCGCCTTAAGGCCTGTAGCATTGAGTCAACTGGCGTGGTTTCGATTCCCCTGTTGTACGTGACAAGGAGTAGGGTCGCCTGTCCAACCTCGTGGGTTTTCTCTGGTTCCTCCTGTTTCCTCCCACTTCGAATTATTGAAATTAAATTGAACCATATGTTAGTCCCGAAATGACCTGGTTTTTGTCGAGTGGACGTTAAACCCCATATCTCTCTCTCTCTTTCTCTGTTATAAATCCTATTGAGTCCAAACCAAGAGATTTTGTTTTCTTATTAAGAGTTAATTAATCAATCTGAGTACATAAATAAGCCGTGAGAAATTTGATATATTCGTAATAATCCAAATGACGTAGTTACTTTAAATACAAATGATGTCAAGTTTGTCAGTATTCTCCTTTTAGGAAAACAGTATTATGAACATAATTTATTAAATATAAATCCTACAAAATTATTATGAACAGAATTAATTAAAAATTATTCACAATGTGGAAAGAAATATGAAGGATTAAGGGGAGTAATATACACATTCTAAGTTTATTGTATGCCAAGATTGGAAACAGAGAGAGAAATGGGGCTTAACATCCACTTGACACAAATGAGGTCATTTTAGGACTAATATATGGTTCAATTTTATTTCAATAATTAACCTGCGCGTAGGGGTCTTTAGCAGTGATCTAATTAACATGCACGTATTGAACCATTAAGCCACCCAACCCTTCTTCCATATTGAAATGTGTTTCTATATTGCTGTCTCCCCACCCAGTCTCTTACGACAACAATTACCATCTGATCTGCTTTAGATTTATGTAAATTGTTCAGATTAGTGACATGAATGAAGATTTATAGAATTTCAGCAATTTCTGATAATCATTTATAAAGTTATTGTCCTTGATTATGTTGTATAGCCTTTGTCAATGTGCCTACGATTTACTGTAAGGCAAGGCTCCATTATAAACAACATGCACAATAGCTATGGACGTATGTTTTGTTGCCTGGCAACCTATTGTTACCAAACATTTTGGTGGGGTTAGGGTTAGTTATGTCTATTTAAAGTGTCAACGTAAACAAAGTGCATGCGTCAGACCATTTGGCCATGGGGAGGGCCCGGGGTCTTTCTCCAAGAATATTTTGAAATACTGGGATGTCAATGGGGATTTGTGAAAGGGTACCAAGTGTTTTAGCATACCCTACATCATGTATGACACCCATTATTATTTATTATTAACCATATTGACTTTATGAATAGTTTATTGATGATAAGAATAATTTTAATGAGATAGTCACTGTAAATAAATGAACAGATTTTATCAGGGGGACATCATATTACTTTTCTTTCATTCACTGGCAAACTTTTCTATACATGTTTAGTTATTTTGGTCTCATTCAAATTTAGTTATTTGGTATCTGAGACTTGTGGCAGCTGTCATTTTCCTCATCTCTTGTTACTTAGCAACAGAGGATGCTCAATTCATTGATTGTCTAACAACTTATGAAAGAGTGTCTGTGATTGGTTGATTAAACTGGACATGACAAGCCACTCTGTGAAGGATATTGCTAGTTTTATTTACCTCAGTTTAAAGTAGTGAGAAAGAGTATGGAGGAGGGCGTTGGTGGGGGTGATAGCCAGGGCTGATATCCCTGTTATACAGGTTTCTAGATGATTTATGATCTAGTTAGTCAAGTTGAGAGATAAGTAGGGTATATCTCCACCGTATACCACAGTTCAAACAGTGTAATAACTCTCTTTATTTAATACTACAGTTTATAACAGCATAAGGTAAGCTGGCTTATATTTTTTGTAGGTTTGAATTTTATTATTATATAATGTTGAGTGTTGTGCTTACCATTTCAGGGTTCAGTATTCGGTATTCTTGGATTTCTTGTTCGATGTTGGGTTTTTTTTATCTGAATTTTAAAGGAGTGGTTGGTTAATGGAGTTCTGTTAATTTGTCATGACAGTTGATATACATTAACTGTTGAATAGATTTGACCGTTGCACCTGTTGGTGATTGGTCATGTATGGGGGCAGGTTTAGGGGTTGGGCGATCAGTCGATCATTGAGTCAAGTGACATGGTTTTGATTCCTAGCTTGTATGTGGCAAGAAGTAGGGTCGTCCACCCAACCACATGGATTTTCTGCAGGTATTCTAGTTTCCTCCCACTGTTAAAGACCCCTACATGCAAACGAAGCAAGCGAATTAGATGAGTAGGTGATACCGCTCTTGTTTATTTAGGTAAAAAGTCCCACATATTTGTTAAATATGTTAAATGTAATGAAATAGGGATGAACGTCCACCAACCAAGCTAATTTGCAAATTAGATGTGGTCGCAAATATTCTAGAAATAGTATGCACAAACTGCCTCATGCATAACACTGGTCACTATTTAAACCTTTCTGCAGGTATTTCATTTACACAACCAAATTTATTCATAACCCCTGAAGAAAAAAAACCTGTTTTGATAAATTAGAACAGGAGAATTACTTAGCACAAGAAATTGAATATGGCCATTAGTAGGCAAAATTCAAAATTTAAACACTAATTAAGAATTAAAAACAGCAAACTTTCAAATTTTCTTGTGATTAGAAAAACAATACTAGTCTTAAAACTATTCTGATCTATCATTCTGTGAGCCATGGTAGCTAAGTGGGTAAGACGCTGAGTCGCTAGCCTGAAGGTCGCGTATTCGATCTCTGCTTTGGCCAAGAAAGTTCATCAAGATTTTCTGATGGGGTTTCCCCTTGTCAGTGGTGCAGCTGTCTAGTCATTCAGATGAAACAAAAAACTGAGGTCCTGTGTCTACATTGGTGTGCAAGTAAAAGATCCCTTGGCAGTTGGAATTCAGCATAAGAGTAGGGCTTAGTGCCACTGCCCGGGCAAAATTCCCCTCAAAGCCCAGTCGGAGCAGAACAGTGGGACATTAAACTCCATTTCATTTCATTTTTTAAAACTATTCTGATCTATCAATAGACATTTGAAATAGACATTAGCCAATATCGATTCCACAAATTCTAGAAATTCTGTAACAATTTCCATATATGCTTAAACATACATTATGCAAGAGCTAAATCTGCCTATTGCAGGTCTTTATTTAGGCCTGAAATGTTATCTAAATTATTAATAAGACATTTATTAACAAAACAAAACTCTCGATGCCATTGCTAGCCTGCGATATTTAGCAGATTGGAACACATTTTTTTAAAGTAATTAAACGTAAAAGAGACTTTGTTGTTTATCGTACCGACTTTAGTAATGATGATCGAGGCTAGGCCTAAAATTCAAAAGCTAACATCTCGGTTCAGAGTGGAGCAATTGGACTGAAATTTTCAGCATATTCCCCTTACATTATCTAGCTGTTAACTATTATAGCGAGAACTGCCAGCTCTTTATATAATCCTCTATAATACCCCTTTAAATAGTGAAATTTAGTTGTTGATATTTTATAGTTAAATAGTAGTTAATGTGCAGATAGTGAAATATAGTTGTTGATATTTTACAGTCAGGGGTCGAAATAACACTTGTCTTGATATTTTACGAAATACAGTTTTATAGTATTTAATGTGCAGATAGTGAAATATAGTTGTTGATATTTTAAAGTTTTATAGTAGTTAATGTGTAGATAGTGAAATATAGTTGTTGATATTTTACAGAATGCAGTTTTAATAGTATTTAATGTGCAGATAGTGAAATATAGTTGTTGATATTTTATAGTTTTATAGTAGTTAATGTGCAGATAGTGAAATATAGTTGTTGATATTTTTACAGTTTTAATAGTATTTAATGTGCAGATAGTGAAATATAGTTGTTGATATTTTACAGAATACAGTTTTAATAGTATTTAATGTGCAGATAGTGAAATATAGTTGTTGATATTTAAAGTTAAATAGTAGTTAATGTGTAGATAGTGAAATATAGTTGTTGATATTTTACATTCAGGGGTCGAAATAACACTTGTCTTGATATTTTACGGAATACAGTTTTATAGTATTTAATGTGCAGATAGTGAAATATAGTTGTTGATATTTTATAGTTTTATAGTAGTTAATGTGCAGATAGTGAAATATAGTTGTTGATATTTTATAGTTTTATAGTAGTTAATGTGTAGATAGTGAAATATAGTTGTTGATATTTTACAGAATACAGTTTTAATAGTATTTAATGTGCAGATAGTGAAATATAGTTGTTGATATTTTATAGTTTTATAGTAGTTAATGTGCAGATAGTGAAATATGGTTGTTGATATTTTATAGTTTTATAGTATTTAATGTGTAGATAGTGAAATATAGTTGTTGATATTTTAATATTTTATAGTAGTTAATGTGTAGATTGTGAAATGTACTGTTTTATATTTTAATATTTTATAGTAGTTAATGTGTAGATTGTGAAATGTACTGTTTGATATTTTAATATTTTATAGTAGTTAATGTGTAGATTGTGAAATGTACTTGATAATATTTTACTGTTTTATATTATTTAATCTACGTGCATCACCTGGCTTCAGCTTCAAAATGTTAGGCGTGTGTTAACATCACGTCACAGGTTTTCCCAGTTTGAATGATCAAGCTGAGTAAAAGGTGAAATAATTTGGTATTTTTTTTTTTAAAATAGTTCAGTGTAAACTGGATATATAAATAAATTTTAATACAGACTTGAAATTGCTGCTTGTTTTGATAGCTATGTTCGAGAACTATTTATCCCTGCATTGCCCGAGAAAGTTCATCAGGAATTTTTGACATGGTTTCCCCTTGTCAGTGGTGCAGGACGGAGGGCCTGACAAGGGCAACTGTCTTGTCATTTGGATGGGATGAAAAACATTGGTGTGCACGTAAAAGATCCCTTGACAGTTGGAATTCGATATAAGAGTTGGCCATAGTGCCGCTGCCCGGGCAAAATTTCCGTCATAGCACACTGTTTGGCGTATGCCCATCTTCATTAGCCCAGTATAGGAGCAGATCAGTAGAACGTTAAACCCATTTCATTTCCTTCCATTTCGCAAGCTATATAGATGAAGATAAGGTCATGCTATTACATGAAATATTAGAATAACTGTAGTTGGTGATATTTATTGAATAGATGTAGGCCTGTGATCTTCTGGTAAAACATGCCTTTGAATTTAATTCTATATAAAGGCAGGGACTAGATGGATTACCAGATGAATTTATATAGTATATTATTATTCAGGTCACACTGTATTAAAATAAGATTAAACCTGGCAACTATATACTTGTTATTCTAGTTATACATGTACATTTATTGTCATCTATTATACTCCCTGTTTCTTTCTCTCTCAGTCTTATATTCATAACCAACATAGTTCACACACCTCCCTTTTACTTCAAATAAGGGGACAGTCTCTCTCTCTCTCTCTCTCTCTCTCTCTCTCTCTTCACTCACAGGTTTCTAATAGTAATAGAGTCTCTCTCACTTTCTCTCTCTCTCTCTCTAACCACCTTTGTTATAAATGGATTCCCTCTTCACCTGTATGTTCGATCCCTGCATTGGCCGAGAAAGTTCATCTGGATTTTCCGACGTGGTTTCCCCTTGTCAGTGGTGCAGAACGGAGGGCCTGACAAGGACAGCTGTCTAGTCCTTCGGATGAGACGAAAAAACAAGGTCCCATGTATACATTAGAATGCACGTAAAAGGTCCCTTGGCAGTTGGAATTCGATAAAAGAGTAGGCGATAATGCCGCTGCCCGGGCAAAATTTCCCTCATAGCACACTGTATGGCGTATGCCTGTCTTCATTAGCCCAGTATAGGAGCAGAACAGTAGGACGTTAAACCCCATTTCATTTCATTTCATTTCATTTCTCTTCACCTGTTCGTACTGAAGGACATGTTTTGCATGAATTTATCATTGTAATAAAATAAAGTGATATGAAGTGGGGTTTAACGTCCTACTGTTCTGCTCCGACTGAGCTAATGAAGACGAGCATACCCCATGCAGTGTGGCATGAGGAAAATTTTGCCTGGACAGCAGCACTATGGCCTACTCTTATATCAAATCCCTGTATACTGAACCCAAACTGCCAAGGGTACACATTGTCCCTTGCCAAGGGCCCTGTGCTGCACTATTGAAAAGGGGGTACTCTAGTAGAACTAGTTAGTCATTAACCAATTCCAGATGTTGTTAACTAGATGTCCTTCAAAATTGTTCGAAACCCACGAAATAAATTAGCCATTGACAAATTTTGAGTGAATAATTTGTCATTTTCTTGTTTAGGAACTTTTAACTTTTAATAAAAGTAGTAGCAAATTAAACTTTTTCCCAGTTCAGATACATGTAGCTTACAATACAAATGTGTTGTGAAAAATCAATTTGAACTTTATTTTGTTGAAAATTAGTGATAATTCTGATCACACATCGTTTGTTCAATGATCATACAGATGTTCTAACTAACTTTAGGGGGGGGGGGGGTTGATGAACACGTTTAATCAAGGTACATTTGAATTTACTGAAATTAAGATGTGAGACATGTTAGTCCCGAAATAACCTTGTTTGTGTTGGATGGAAGTTCAAGTCTTGTTTTTTTCCCAGGGGTTTCTGGTTTCTTTCCACTGCTATGAAAGATGCTCACATGACATGCAATTTTTTTTTTAAAATGAAAAATTGAGACAGACACTATTTTATCTGTTGCTAGGATGAGGAGGTTAAATGAAAACTGTTTTATCTGTTGCTAAGGTGATCAGGTTCAATGGAACAGTGCTTTATCTGACGCTAGGGTGATGAGGTTCAATGGAATACTGTTTTATCTGTTGCTATGAGGTTCAGTAGAAT